ACTCTTAACTTTTTTAAGGATTTACGTGAAGAACAAGTCTGCCTGTTCTTCATAACCTTGGAGATATTGTCTGACATTTTTTCTTACTGTTCCTACAACCGGCTCTATTTTATAAGTAATTCACAGGGCTTTGCACTTAAGTGTCTCTACCCCCAAGTAAACCAGGGTGCTTCTTTTATCAGATGAAAGCTGTTGGTTTTGTTCTTTGTCTTAGCCACCAGGAAGATCAATGCCAAATTAGTGTATACTAGAAATAACTATTTCATTATTCTACTAGGGCTTTTTTTTTATATATATATATAAGTTACCACAACCCTTTAGAATCTGGTGAAATATTTAGACATACATAAAATAATTGCATTGTAATTTCAAGATGTTCTTGCATTCCATGAAACATATCCTGGACCCTTAGAGTTAAGAATCCCTGCTTCTCATCTTTTCATATCCTTATTTAAACCATTTAGTACATATGAGTGTATTATGCTATCTTTCCTTGACTTCATAGAAGTAGGTTATATAAAATGATAAATAGTTTTCAAAGGTTTAAGGTGCTGAGCATTTGCCCTCTATGTATTTGGTAGCTAGGCCATGGGAAATATTTTAGTCTTTCTCAAGAGGAACTTTTTCGCTTCTCATGGTGATGAAGCAGGTGGGCTAATATCAATGGCTGTATAGTTTTTGTCTAATTTTAAAGAAGCAACCTAGAGGTTTTACATATATATATTTAAATTATACACATATGTATATGTGTATTTGTGTATAAATATGTGCGTGTGCACGTTTTTGTTTGTTTGTTTGTTTTTGTTTTGGTACAAATACCACAGCCTAAACATGGAGTTCTTGTGCTCTGAACACAATTTTGAATGGAGAGTCAGTCAGTGAAGTTAGGACATTTTTACATCTCTCTTCCATAGTTTTTGGTAAAGTGTCTTGATGAAAGTTGTAAAACTGCTTTGGGTTTGTCTCTGGGGCTGCAGTTTTAAAAACTGGTTCTCAAGTGAGGGAAGAGTCGTCTTCTGTCTTAGGGTGGTGGTAGGGTTATTGGCCCTTGCCTTCAGGCTAATTGTTCACAGATTCTCCTTCATGTTGGATTTTTGGTGGGAGGTCCTGAGTTGGGAGGCCATGTGCTGGGCTTTGCTCTTGGGCCTCCATGTATAAAGGGATGTATGTTCAGATTGCAGACTTTGCCGAATAGGGTGCCTCATTGTGCCGAATAGGGTGCCTCATTGTACTTGCCTTTGGAAATTTCTTCCTCTTTAATGTCCCCTGTGGATAGGGGAAGGGGGTTCAACATGTGTCCCTAAAGTGTGTTCCCAAAACTTTGGCTAGTGAGGAGGGACTCATGCTGAGGAGGCGCAATGTTTGGAATAGCTATGATTTTTCACCTCTCTTTGTGAAAGACAATTTGTAGTACATTTTGTCTAAGGGAGATTTGAGTATCCAGCTGGTTAGATATATTTAAAGAGAGGGAAAAAAAACCCACTTGAAACAGACCTTGAAGAAATCTATTATAAATTTGAGTGGGAACGTGAGAATGCTGTGGCATACTGGCAAAATAATTAAAATAGCTAATTAAAATAACTGATAAAGAAATGAAATGTAGCTTTACATGGGATTGTCAAGATTTAATTGTACTAGAATTAGGTTAATAAGCTCTTTTAACTCGATAAAGTATAGGAATTCGGTTCTGTGTGCAATTTGAAGCCACCATCACCTGTGCCCTCTAGTGCATACATGATGAGTTTGACTGTAAAATTTTGTGCTGTGGTTCCTGCCTCTGCCCTTGTTACTGCTGAGATTCCTGGTGTGATAGCTCTCTTAGCCTCTCTGATCCCCTCATCCGTGCGTGAAAGGGGTGGCCTTGTTTCTTCCTGCCCATGTGGTCCTGCTGCACTGCTCTGGGCCTAGAGAAGTAGTAGGTGCATCCTGTCAAGTGTGGCAGCTCCTGGGAGTCAATTCCTTGAGACCAGGGCACTTTTTGCATACACACTCCGCCCCCTGCCCCAACATGCTGCCTAGGCATAGCATCTTATCCTGGGGATGTTTATTCCAAGCAAGGGATACTACTTAAAAATCTTAACCTTCCTTTTCCCTATCCATATTTGCTGAGCTGGTGTCTCAGAGTAGGGTAGAGTAGGTCATGTAAGGATCCTAGAGATCCCAGCATGGTTAGCACCTATGGACATCCCTCCCAGGAATGGTGTGTAAGGTGCTACTGGTGTCTGTCCCCACCAATGGATCCCCAAGGTAAAGGCCAATTTGCTGTTTGCTGGGTACAGGCGATCTTTTTGAAGCTCCCCAGGATGTAGTGGCAGTCCGCTTTTGGGGAGGGTGCGAAGCCAACCTTAGGCCCTTTGATCCCCATGGATAGCTGTTTGTCCAGTCCCTAAGGGTTGTGACAGAGCAACTTCTTATTGCGTAATTGCTAGTTGTTTGCATGGTAGCTTTTTGGCTAGCGCTTTCCCCACCCCACTCCCCACCCAGCCACCACCACCCTGTCCTTTATTTTGTTCTTTGCTTTAGTTTAACCTTTATCTCAATGAAGAGACTTGATTAGGTGCCCTTTACTCAGCTGGCACACTTGGCATTGTAGAGGATATGGTACAAAACAAATGTCCATTTAAGGTTTCTCTTAAGGTTTTTCAAGTTTCACAGGTCAAAATTGATAGCCTACCAAGGAAAAGCTTTAAAAAAAAAAAAAGACATTCACTTTTTACAGTATACACAGTTTTAATAACAAATCTTTCCTGTACACTGCACTTTGTTACCACCCCCCTCCCCCGGCCCCATTATAATAGTATTTTCTTCCCACCCCCCAACCCAGTTGCCCACCTCCCAGCAAAAACAAAACAAAACAAAAAAATGGCTCTTAAGGTGATTGAACACAATGTGTTTTGGACTGTACTTTTAGTGTCCAGTCTCAGTGTTGATAGGAAGGTTCACCAAACATTCCATATATCAGACTTTTTTTTAAGATTACCAAGGAAGAATAGGTTAGTTGAAGGAGTAGCAGATGTTTCCAAATGTTTGTAATAGCTGTATGAAATCTTGAAAAGTCATTTTCTATGTGTTTTTGGCCTTATTCAAGTACTGTGAGTTTGCCCTAGGTTAAGAACAGAAATATATAATTACCTATAGATGACCTTATCATCTTTATCTTCATCTTTTTCTGGTTGAAGCACTTAAGCCAATAAAATATGAAGATCATGTCCCAAACAGACTTTTGAGAAAAATCTGTCACTGTATTGCTCTATTAGGAAAGTGATCATGTAAGTCAGCTTCTCAAAATATTCTTTTAAAATTTCATATAGATACCCACATTTTAGGGAGAGAACAGGCATTTATAGCATTTTTGCCCTGATAGCATGTGTAGGAAGCATGCCTTAAGAAAATGATATGCCTGTTCTGAATTTTAGGATTTGGACCTAGCGATACAGACGGCTCATTTTTATTGGAAAGATGGAGTCTAGCTCTTGGTGACTAGCATTAGAATAAGCAGATGGATTTTAATAATTAGTGGAGTTGGAAAGTTCAATCGATTTCATTCATTGAATTGGTATAGAAATTAATTTAGGCACATTAAGAAATTACATGTGTTAGTGCAGATTTTTGGCTTAAAAAATTAGTATCTTTGCTATTTGATGTTGGCAGTGGGTATTCTCCGAGTTCTGTGTGGATTTGCAGATTTATCAGCCCACTCTCATTTCAAGAAAGTGATTGAAATCCGTGGCAAGCTACAGAAATGAATATAAACGATTCCAAACAAGCTCTTGGTTACTAGGTGGGTACGGTATCATAGCCTGCTTAGCTTTTCTTTTTCCAGAGAGATTTAATTATTTTTCTGGTTCTTGATTAAGTGGTCATTTTCCTCTAACCTTGAAAGTGAAAAAAGACCGGGGCTAGGAGGGGGATAGGCACTAAAGAGGATGAGATGACACTGATAAAACAAAAGCCCTAACATCATGTTACCAGGATCTGCAGTGTAGCTGTGATGCTCTTAAACCCTAGCCAGTCGGTAAAGAGAGGACATACGACTAACAGTCTCATCTTCAAACCTGTGCTGGTACCGAGACACAAATAGGCCAAAAATAAATGGAATCCTGCCTTCTTCAGGCATTTGAAAAGGGAAGTTTGCACTTTAAATGAAAAGGGAAAATGCTGTCTGGCACTGTTACTTACTTTTCTCTGAGAGCATTACCAAAAAAATGGATGGCAAAATATTTTATAGTTTTCAACTGCAAAGTATTCCTTAGTGGCTTTGCTATGCTGTTCCCCAGAATTTACTGAATGGCTTGCTTTCCCAATTACTTCTCTACATACATTAAGGATTTTGTCAGTTGATGGTCCATTTTACTAAAGGTGATCTTTAAGATGAATGTGGGAATTCTCAGCCAGTATTTCTCATCCTTCTCTTCACAGTTTCAATTAATATTGGTTGTGGATGAAATGATGGAAAATACTCCAGTGCTATCCTTTAGGGCTAGTGGAGTCTGTGTGTTCAGGGCACAGTTGTATTGTGACAGAGCTGTACCCTGACAAATGGCCATGGTTACCCTGATAAATGGGTTGGTAAATTTTAGCTCATGGAGCTCTCATTTGTAATGGGGCTTCTGATCCAGTCCCTCCATAGGGAAGCAGTGAGCTGCACTCTGTGCCGTAAAATCAGCTTCTGTCTTTGCCCGGGCAGGCCCAGGGTCTGGTTTAATAAGAAATGAAATGCTCACCGCTCAGGATCAGTTGAACACAGCTGGGCTGAGACTTTGCCAAACTAATCTACCCACCCTAAAAAATATAGAGAGCACATTTTTACCTTAATTTCTGATCTCATCTGCTTTTTTTACTGATACACGTTTTCTTTGACATGTAGGTAGACACCCCTCTCTTAGTATTAAAGAAGAAAAAAATTACAGTTAAATCTCATGGGTTACACTGTATTCTTAGCATGTTTGCAGTTCAGTCCTGGGAAGAAAATATGCCTTGAATAAAAGGATAACGTGTTAATGGTCATTTTAAGGGAATGATAACCTTTTTTTTTTTTTTTTTTAATGGTAGTGGTTTTCTCTAAGGATATACGCCTTTTTTCACATACAGTCAATGTCAGTTGTAGAAATGCTCATTTTTCTAAAATTAAGTCAGTCTAATTTAATGGGTTTTGCTACTATGTGCATGGAACCTCGTTTATGGAAAAATTCTGTATGAATTGGTGACTTGGATCTAAATCCAGTATATGCCATAGTTTCTTTGTAGAAATCATAATCAAAGAAATGAAATACTTGTGGCTCTTTTCTGCATGAAAAGTGTGACATCATTATCATTTGTTAATTATGGAATGTTTCTATTAACACTCTCCCCTTTTCAGCTGCAGGCTCCAGGGCCTTGCCCTGTTTGTTGCAGATTATGTAGTTAACCTTTGCTTCACTCTTGGCTGCCTTTTAACTTAAGCTAAACTGCTTCTGTGGGTCACATTTCAAAATGCTGCCTTTCCCTTTCATCCCTTCACCTCCATGCCACCTTTGCCTTACCACTGTGTGGCTGCATAGGCATGTAGAGTGTTCTCCCACGAGAGAACACTCAGTAATACATTGCCTCAGTAATACGTTGTTCCCTTCACTTAGAAGGAACTGCTCTTACAGTGTGGATAGGTATCTTTATTAAACAAATATTAGCATATAGTATTTAGAAAGTGATTTTTTTCTTGGTTCCTTTATATTATATTCAGTAAGAATCAGTGTTATTCCTGTTGCTAGACAATTATTTTTAATTTGGCTTTTTGAGGTTTGAAGATCAGGAAAAGGCAGAAGAAAGAGGTTTAAACCCCTTTGTCAAGGCATCTTTGATCATGGAGGGAGGGAGAGAATTTGTCTGTGTGCTTTCAACTAGAGGGAGCAAGTCACAGGATTGTTAAATTGACTCAGTTTATCTCTTTTCTCTCCAAAATAATTTCTAAATCTTTTTTTTTTTTACATGTAAATGTAAATACAGGATTTAGTAAACTAATTAGTAAAATGGTGATTTAATACTAGTTTAAAAAATTGTCTAAATGCCACAAAAATCAACATTTCCATTATAAGTCAAACTAGAGATGTATCACATGAAGTCAGTGTAATTATTTACTTTTGATTTCATTGTAATGAGACCTTTTCACAATCACTTGGATTCATTGTTTAAATGTATTAAAGAGTCACTCAGCTTATTAGAATTACATAAAGGGTTCCGATTTCATAATGTGGACTTCGATAGTATCTACCAACCCAGGCAAAAACTCTGGAAGAAGAGTGTTTAATATCTACCAGTCTTCAGCATACATGAAATTCTACTTCCCACACTGGCAGTAAATTGTAGATTTGAGTAAATACCAAATTATCATACAAGAGAACTTTGTTAAGCCCCCTTTTAAGCAGCAAGCCAGTTGTGGTACTTGGGATGGAGAGCAGTGATCTAACAAGTATTGATCCATATCTTTTTCTGCTCAGTAGCTTCTTTCCAAACTGTTTTCAGTAGAAAAAAATAGCATATGGAGACCTTAGTGTAAATGTTTACACATGACAGTTTATAATTACATACATGAAATGTCTTATTTTGAAGTAAGCGTTTTTAGACTTTGCAACAAGAGTGCAAATTAATATGAGCTTTGCATCATATAACACTTAAAATATGGTTTCATTAAAAAAAATTAAAAATACTTCAACACTTCAAAAACTTAAGTCTCCACTTGGTTTGGAAAATTAGGCTTAATGTCACCATTGGTAAAAATTAGGTATGTATTTAGCCCCTACTATGTAAAATAGGTTACTTATCTGATGTAATTTTTGATGACGGGTCGATATTATACTTCACATTCTTTGTATGGCAGCTGCTGACACTTGCACTGTCCATAACCATTAATGATGATGAAGGGTCCTTCATGGGTGGGTTCATATTCATTATAGGGTCCTTGGTCTGACATGTTTGACATATGGAGTCGTGTTTGGGATCGGAGCTGCCTATGGTTCTGAATCATTGAGCACTGCCTAATTCTTCTTAAAGTGGGAGGGCAGCACTTCCTGGAGATGAACACTATAAAAATAATAAAAAAGAAAGAAAACAATAAAGCCATTGTTCCTGTAATTACCCGCTGAGTGAAGATGGCATTGTCTGGTTCGGGAAAGTGTTCCTCAGTAGTAACTGCTATGCCTGCAGTAGTTGGGATTTCTTTGTCTCCCACATGGTAACTTGATGAGCTTATTCTTTTTGTATATTCAGTGGTTGGATCTCTGTAAGTTGTAGCCATGGCAGTGACAGTGGTTGATAAATTCCAGCAGAGCTGAAATCCGTGGACTGCATCTAGTATATCCTCTCCTTGGGTGTGGTCAGGGCTGTGACATAGGATGGAATGTTCCCACCGACCTTGGAAACTGCCCAGCCAGGAGGCTAAAGCACATATTCGAGGGCTGCATTCCCACAGATTGCCAGAGAGGCCGACGGTTGTGAGGGATCTCAGGGAGTTTAAGATCTTGGAATCAAGGCTGTTTAACTTGTTGTTATCCATGAGGAGAATTTTAAGATTAGGCATCGTTTCAAACACTGTCAGGTCGATGGCTTTGATTTCATTTCCAGTCATGTCTAGCTTTTCTAAAGTGCCCCAGGTCCACTCCATTCCACATGTCAAGTTGCTAATTTTGTTCCATTGTAAGAAGAGTGTGTGCAGACTGCTTAGCCGTAGGAAATGAGCAAAATTAATCTTCGTCAGCTGGTTGTGCTCTAGGTGAAGCTCTCTCAGTTTGATTAATCCTGCAAATCCATTGCGAGCCAAACTTCGCAAACGGTTTGTGCTCAAATCCAGAAACTCCAGACTACGACAGTCCCAGAACAGACGTACTGGGATAGTCCGCAGGGAGTTGGACCGTAAATGCAAGGTCTGCAGCTTCCGAAGGCCGTAGAAGAGCTCTGGGTGCAGAGATGACAGCTGATTAAAAGACAGGTCCAAATTTTGCAGGTTAATCAGTTGAGTAAAAGTTGTGTTTGGCAAGTAAAATATTTTGTTGGAACTTAAGATTAATTCCTTAAGTTTATATAGTCCTTGAAAAGCATCTTCTCTTACTGTTGAAATTTGATTGTGGTCTAAGTGGAGCCAGGTAAGTTGACTGAAGCTGGCAAATTGATCCCTTTCGAGCTCTGTGATGTGATTGTGCCTCAGGGACAGGCCCAGAGAGCCCTTGTCTGTGGCGTTTGGCACTGAGCGGAAGCCCTGGGAGTCGCAGTAGAAGAGCAGCTTCTCGCAGCGGCATTTGGGTGGACACGCCATACCCAGGGCAGGCAGCATTTTTAAAACCATACTCATTGCATATACTGCTGCCAGCATAGGGGCCCCTAATGGCCACTTGAAATGTAAGCCTGCAGAATATAATTTAAGGAAAACAAGAAGATAGGATATTTTTCAGCAGAATGTATGAGCTATTAAACAACAACAACAACATTATGGCGAAAGATTTCACTGCATGTAACTTATTTGTCATTTGCTGCAGGAAAACTAACCTTGTTCGTATGACTAGAACAAAACTTAAACCATTAAGAAAAAAGAGCATGTTCTGTCATTAGCAATATATGCTTTTACCTAAACCTCAAAATCCAAAAATTTGACAGTGATTTCCCTCATAAAACATGAATTCAGTGGCTTGTTTTAAAAAGCATGATTCCTTGCTGACTGTACAAGACACATAAATGCATGGACTTACCCATTCTTCTGAGCACATTGGAGGCTGCATTCAGTCGCGGTTGTTAGACTCAACGCAGTGAGTCTGTAAAAGGCTCTAACATGCAGGAGCCTTTGACCAGTTTCCTGTTTTCTGTGTCCCAGGCTTTCTGAGGAAAATTGAATCCACCAGGGTGAGTTATTTTTTCCTTAGGATATTCCTCTCGAAAGCATTGGTTTCATTTTCTCTGTCCTCTCCGCTTCCCCAAATCAGTTTCGAATGTAAGTTATTAATTTTGTCCTCCTTTAGCTGCTCAGCTGGTTAATCAAAGCTTCCGTCTCTCCTTTCCGCAGCCGTTAGTTCTCTCGGTCTTAACTTGTTGATGGCAGATGGGCGGCTTGTTGCAGAGAAGAGCTCCTGGAGCAGCATGAGTGCATTTACTGAAAAGCTTTTCCGAGAAACGGCACAAGAATGGAATTGCTTATGTGCTGCGACCACACAGAACTGTATATAGGCTGACGTCACTGGGTGACGTGTCTTTTGTTTGGGTTTTCCAGAAGCTTTACTGTTATAAAGCACCGTGCTTTGTAACAGTATCGGGTCGCTGTGAGACCCCTTGATTATAATAAAGCGAGAAAGAGAATCCCTGACTTAAAAACATGGTATTCCTTCAGTGTAGGCAGCAGCAGTGAGGTTATAATAAAGGCTGCATTCAGGGAGACCCATCTGAACAGTGAGTTGGGATAGCAGAGTGATGATTTTTAATGCTTGGAAGAGCCAGTGTTAGACTGCCGATTCTGCAGAGAGAGATCATCTAAATGGGCAGGAGCCTGCGCGATTTATGAAGTGCAGATTTAATGCCAGCCTATGCAGGGTAGTACCTGCTGCTCCAGTAGTTTGGAAAGCTACTCAGTCACCTTGTTGTCAGGCTTGGTTAAAATAGAAGTATGACTGTGATTTGCTTTAGATGTGTTGGGAAACTAGCCAGGTGGGCTTGGCTTCTTAGTCATTAAGAGCTTGACATCCTAAACCAAGAATAAACAGGGGGGAAAAACCTTTCAACACAAAGTATTTCGTTACTTTGCTTCTTGAGAATTGAAGGGGAACGTGAGTTAAAAGATGTCTCCTTTTCTGTCTCATTTTATAACAATGTTTTAATTATAGTGCTGATTGAAAAATAATGCTGATTTGATCTTTAGATGTCTTACTAGGAGAAAAGGTTAGGGTGATACTATCATTTAATACTGCATGCCCTAAATAAACATAAACAGTGGAATGGAAGTGATTTAGGACAAGTAATAGAGCATGGTTGGATTCTGGTATAGTCCCTCATATTTACCTCAGACTCTCACCTACTCCTTCAACTGAAAGGAGTCGCTCAGCTGACCAACTGAGCATGATTTGGGACATTGTGGCACCCATGTAACAGAGCATTTGCATACTTAATAGCTCTTACCGACACACTTAAGAACTGACTTTGAGTCTAATACTCACTTTTGTTGGAATCTCTGGTGAATACAGAAGGTCACTCATACTTTGGAATAGGATTTTTGCTTTGGCTGTTTTTACTTGACTTAACTGTGTCTTCTCCCTGTCGAATAGTGCCATCACTTTTCAGAACTTGTTTATGAACGTACAGTTCCATGTTTATTTATTTTTTTTAAGATTTAATTTGAGAGAGAGAGAGAGCAAGCACGAGTGGGGGGGGGCAGAGAGAGAAGGAGAAGCAGGCTTCCTGCTGAGCAGGGAGCCCCAACGTGAGGCTCAATCCCAGCACCCTGGGATCATGACCTGAGCCAAAGGCAGACGCTTAACCCACTGAGCCACCCAGGCGCCCCAATTCCATGTTTAATATAGTGTAAATGTGAAGGATTTCTCTAGCATTAGTCAGGGCCATATATTCAGGCCTGACAAGTCTAAGGCCTTTCACACATCTTACATTAATTTGGCCTTCCATGCCAATTTCTGTCACACCCTTTATGCTTAACCTGGAGGCAAAAATTTCAAAACTACCCATGGTGTCTGTGAAACCAGAACATCATTGGCCTCTTGTTCAGTGGCCTTGCCACTGGGCAAGAAGTCATCCTCTTAAGAGGTGTAGTTCCCGTGTTGAAGGGTGGTACTGGAGTGAGAATTGAAAGAATCCAAGGTCCTGTGAAGGTGCTATGAAAACATCAATAACTGCAGGTGTATAGTCTGAGTCCTCTTAGAAGCAGACCCCAAGATGGATTAGAAGTATTAGAGTTTTATTTGGAAAACGCATGGGAGGTATAAAAGGAGAGAGAAGACAGTAGGAATACTCTGAGGGCCACTGGAGTCTTCAGGCCACAGGCAGGTCTGATATTCCAAAAGAAAAGAGGAAGGAAAGATTTGGCAGTCATAGACTGCAGTGCATCCTCAGGCCAGAGCCAAACTCCCAAGCCAAAACTGCCCATGAGTGGAATCCCGCATTCTTAAGAATGAGCCTGCAATAGTGCTCCCACCATTTTCCTACTTGCTGGTTAAGGAAGGGGGAGGTCTTGTTTTAGGCCTAAAGGATGCCACTCCCCACACTGACCTTCATCTTTTCCAAAGTCTTATCTGCCCATAGGCCAGAAGTTGTTAACCTGAGTCCATAGATTGGTTTGCAGAATTTTGTTGATTGTGCATTTTTAGTGAATAAGTTTTAATCTGATTCTTACAGGGCCTGTGATCCTGGGTGACAGAGTTCCTGCTCTACAGGAACTTTCTCCTTTTGGGAGTCTGATTAAGGGTTGTCTCTTTAAAAATTTTTTTCTTTTTATTTTTTAAAGATTTTATTTATTTATTTGACAAAGAGAGAGACAGCGAGAGAGGGAACACAAGCAGGGGGAGTGGGAGAGGGAGAAGCAGGCTTCTGCCGAGCAGGGAGCCTGATGCGGGGCTCGATCCCAGGACCCTGGGATCATGACCTGAGCTGAAGGCAGACGCTTAATGACTGAGCCACCCAGGCGCCCCTAAAAATTTTTTTCTTTAAGGAAAAGCAGCCCTTGGGATACTGTAAATGCCTTATTGAATGAAATCAGCTACTCCCTGATTAAAAAAAAAAAAAACCTTTGCCACGCAGGAGGAACTGGATTAAATTCTTCCCTGAAGTAACCACTTTAGTTCCATGTGGAGAAAAGCATTAGAGTCAATTGGATTAGAGCAACCACAATTAGGAATGAGTTGTATGTGAAAATTTAAAAGGAAAAGCATCTCCTTCCCCATAGACCCTTGGTTCCTTTCTGCTCTCTAGTCTGCTTGCCTACTTCTGATATATTAACAAATGGAGAATGCTTAAATTATATTATCCCAGCACTATTAGACCAGATTTGTGGGCAAGGGGAATTGCCCAGAGAAGTACCAGTGCAATCAAGAGTAATTTTTTTTTTGACGCATTTGGAGAAGCGGGCAGTAATGCACTGGAGAAGTAGGCAGTAATACACAGTACCCAGAGAGTTCCTTCTAAGTCACCAGTCATCTTGCTCACTTGCCTTCTCTTTGGGTTCAAAAGGTTCAGTCTTTGGAACCAAAGAAGATACGGTTTTGTCTTAAAGTTGGTGGAGTACACGGTTCCCGTTGATGGGATTTTGTATCATTTTTTGATCTTTATCTTTCTTTAGCTCAAAGGACTAAACAGAGATCCATGTTCTTTCTGAAATAAACTTAATCTTTGGTTTCATTTTAAGCAGCTTCACTCTCCATACATATGCCTTTGACTTAATTAAAGTGGCAGTACAGCCTCCAGAAAGCACTATCCATATCATCTCTTTAAGTTTTCACTGCTTTGTCGTTTGTGACAAAGCAAAGGAGAAACAAAATCTAACTCATCTCTCCCCTCTGTGAATGGTTTTAAGCAAAAGTAAATGAATCAAGCGGCAGGGCTTAGGTGCTGTAGTTACGTGCATTACTCTACATGAAAGTTTGCTTTTAATACGTATTGCTGAGTAGGGAGAGTTATTTCCCTGCTTGGAGCGGCAGATGTACAGATACGTGGAATTTTCTGTTCATTTGTGGTAGAGCTGGAGCTTGATTTTGCATTATGCTAAAAAGTCAAATGTTTCTTTAATCATTCCCAAATCCAAAGATTACAATAACTCTGGCACCAGTGGTGTTGCACGTAGGTGCTCTGGAGAAGTATGTTAAATAAACCTCGTTGCCGTCAGTCTTGATCGCTACTTGGAGGATTTCCTCACGCTTCTCAAAAAGTTATAGTCATTTTTTGGGTGGAGGTCCTAGATTTTGTGGGTCTGAGTATATCCCCTGCTAAGAACCTTTTAGGGTTTTTAGTTGGCAACCTCATATTTGGGCCTGTATTAGAGTAAGTGAGTTTCTTTCAGAGGGAAGAAGGAAGGAAGATGAGAGAAGATTATGGTAAATTCTAGAGTTGTTCACTGCTTTCATACTGCATGTATTTGGGGGCAAAGATAAGACTGTTCTTTTAAATTATTTGATATGCTATTTAGAAAAAAGGAAAAACCAGTGAGGTTCATGATGAACATTAGCTTGTTATCTTCCCAAGAAGCAAAACATACATGACAGAGGCAGATAGAATGCATAAGGATTGGTGGTTTTACCAGTTTATCATGTTGGGATGGACTAAAGAGTGATTGATAGTCCCAGGTGGAGCTGGAGGATCTGAGAGCATTCAGAACACTGGGTTCCTGGAGTCTTGGTCTTCACTAGACCACTGTTGCGTGTAAATAAATAGGTGTGTGGTTGGGAATCTTTGTTTTCAAGTGCCTTTTTAAAGGTAAGCTGTCCACATAAGGCCAAGAATCCCCATTTTTTACTAGATCTTTGTCCCTATCCCTACCCTCCATTGATTTTGATTTTTAAATAAAAAATCTCTTGTTAGTAAACATGACTGAGAAAGCAGAAAGAAGGAGTAATGGTTCCACAGTGATGGTGAACTGTGTTCCTTTTGATGTTGTAACTTATAGACTTCAGGATTTCTTCTAGCTTTGGAGGCATCTGCTTTTTGGTAGTTGTTGCTAGTGGGGGTGGCAGGGCTAGGATCAGGTAACAGCCTAATTTTTTTGTGCAGTGTTGTATTCTGTGTCCAGGACTAGGTAATTCAGCAGTAAATCTTGGGGTGATGCACTTGAGTCAGACATTAGGTGAGGGAAAATCTTTCATAGAAGTTTGGGCAGAGGTACATTTCAGCCATGAAGATCTTTTATTTGGCCTACCATAGACTCCAAACCAAATCGAACTATCTTAAAGTCTTGATTAATGCACAGATTGATTGAAATTTGTATTGCCAAGCCCCCTTTTTTTTTTTTTTTTTTAATGGTAGTGGTTTT